ACATGTCAGCCCAATCAGCAGCAACATGTATATAAACCACGCGGTATTAAAGAGACAGCTCGCACAATGTAATTAACATCCAAATAAATTCACAAGAGCAAGTATATTGTTTGCACATGTTTATTTACATTAAAGGCAAAATAACTGAAATAATAAGGGCACAAGTATAGATCTGGAACTTCTTTAAGTCTGTCTAAATATCATTTAGTAATTGCAATGTCTTCTGGTCCATATCCTTTCCTTAGGAAGGTGCGCTAAATACTGATTAATATAACATGAAAATACTATACATATTTATATATTTTGCTATGGAGTGACACTTTCATAAACTTTTCTATACCCCTCTGATTATACACCTGAAATCTTTGTCTTTTCATCCTGAAATGCGAGGCAAATGTCGGATCACAATAATTAGGAACCACAGTTTCCACAAATCCCTTCACTCGAATTGGGATGTTCTCTTTTATTCTGGAGGGCAAGGGCAGTGACTGTACCATCGAGCGTATTTTGCAGTATTAAACACGTATTTATACCGATTTCATCAGGCTCCACAAGAACACAAAGAATGGCCTTTTCAGCTGCCATAGTTGCAACTCTTGCGTCATCAGAACAGTGTGTTCAACGCACCACCGTTTCCGTTTAAAACACGTTTTGCACCGTTTTGTCGGGCCTGAACGCAGCCCTAGTTTTACCACCTACCAGTGTCCGTTGGCAATTTCCCGCTCGACCTGTATCACACCGCAAACCCATAGGTAGCCTTCATCAAGACAGCTGGCTTAATATATACTCCCTTCGCATTGTAGCTAAAACCGTTGTCTATTCATGGCTCTGAATCTTAGAGAGGTTTCTTTGTGTTGCGTGTGGATCATCAGTGTTGGTGAGGTGAAAAAAGTTTTTATTATATCTTTTTTATGTAAAAATTTTTGTAAAACTTTTTGTCATTTAAATGTTTTATAATTTATATGATTTATTTAATATGAATTATACGGTCACTGTTATCAAAAATATAATATCAGTCTATATAGCTACAGACCGAGTGCTGTAACACGTTTTGTTTCAATGTCTGTTAACCAAATAAACTTGGATATATTCCCATATTTGTCTGCTACAAATTAAAGTAGTTTAGAAATTAAGTTATTCGTAAAATGTGTAAAATTTAATGTATGTTTAATGTAAATTTAAAGTAGCCTACAGAGGGTGCTGCTGTTACTAAACTAAAACAAGTTGCAATAATTCATCCCAAAATGAAAACGATTATTTACTCTGTCGTGTCGTTCCAAACAGTCTGACTTTTTTTCGGTGGAACAAAAGATTAGAAGAATGCTTCAATTTTTCTTGTCCCTATTAAAGACTTATTTTTTATCCATTCAAAAAATAAATAAATAAATAAAATCTAAAATATCTTTTTTTTTTTTCCAAAGAAGAAAGTGATGCAGCTTTGGAATAACACTAAGTTGAATAAATTACACTTTACTTTTTGGTGAACTATATCCTATAACAGTCGCTTATATAACAAATCAAATAAGCTAGTGAATTGTCTCAAACTGTCCAGCAACTGCTACAGGTAAAAGTTGCACACAACAACTGAACCTACAGCTACTTTTAAATCATGCGTTCTAGAAACGTTGGCTAATTTTGTTTCATAACATTCTATGGCTTATGTGGAAGTGAGTGTACCTTTGTATCTTGAGTAGCTATACCTGTGTCTCAAAAACAATTTTTTTCAAACACGAGTGTTCAGTAGGCTATTCGGTTTCTATCTCTGCGACGTCGCGCCTGGAACAACACCATACAAACTATGACAACGATAATCTCAGGCACTGATTATGTGCTTATTAATGTTAAAAGGGTTTAATGTGAGTTTGAATATCATTTTGTGTGACCTTTATAGCCATATTGAAAGCGACAATGGATAATTTACCTCTTCTTGGAAATAAATTAAACAAAAACGTTCAAACTGTCAACTCCTTAAAAGACTGTTGTTCATGAACATCTATTTAACTGCTTAATCACATCTGTATAGCCTCTTTTAAGGTGAATGTTCCTGAAAGGTGTCTGGTGGCAATCCGAGGTCGTCCAGCTGTACTGGGCTGTGAGTTCACACCTGATTCTGACCTCTCTAGTCTGGTTGTTACCTGGCAACGTCAGGAGGACTCACAAGTCATCCACAGTTTCTATTATCAACAGGACAATTTGGACAGACAGAGTCCAGAATACCACAATCGGACCTCATTGTATATTTCAGAGCTTGGTAAAGGAAATGCCTCTCTAAGAATAAATCCAGTTGGACCAAAGGATGCAGGCTGGTACCTGTGTCAAGTGAGCAATGCTAAAGGGACAGGAAAGGCTCTGATAGAGCTGGACTATGGGGGGGTATGTTAGAAGCTTAAAATAAACAGAATATTTTTTAAAGCTTTTTATATTATTGTAGCTTGAACAAGAACATAGTTGAACTTGAAGTGAAGGTAACTTAATTGATCATAGGCCTATCTTCCATACAAATCTTTGTATCTGGGGATGGCTCACAAAATAATAAAGTATCCAACACAGACAGCTTATTCAGTACAGAGTTGTGTAGAATGCCATGTTATTTACTACTGTATTTACTCACTCTCTGAATGTGTGCGTGTTTGTGTGTGTTTTTCAGCCCTTTACTCAGAGCCTAGGCTCAACATTCATGTGAACTCCACTACTGTGACAGTGCAGTTTGAGACAGAGGGTTTCCCCAAACCTGAGGTGATCTGGCTGGGGGAAAACAACCAGAACCTCAGCTATCACCTGGAGATCTACAACCAAACAGAAGATGGACTTTATTACATAAAGAGCAGTTATGAGGCCCAGAAGCCAGTGGTTATTGTTACATTTACACCAAAGAATCACCTCCTGAACCAGAACCTGCAGACACTGGTGTTCCTCAGCTTTGGTAAAGACCTTCTTTCACTCTGAACTAAGTTCATGTCAGAAGGCATTCATTATAGAATGGGGTCAGCAATGTAAAATTGTGATATTAAAATTCAAATCTATACACCATGAAAATGGAAGTATAACAGCCATTGTAATCATGGTTTTTCTATAATGAATGCATGCTGTATAGAATTAGATGTTCAAAGCCTGTGAAAGTGACACTGAATATAGGTGCTATATGACTGAATGGATTTAAACATGGTAAAATGCCTTAAAAACAGCTAAATGCAGCTGGAGCAGGGCCGTTTCCTCTGAGTAGGCAAGCGAGGCAGTGTCTCCTCAAAATATTGGATGAGGGAAAAAAAATCGTAGTACAAAAATAAAACAATGCCAATATAACAAAATATAACATTAAAAAGAGTATAAATCGTTTTTCTAAAGAAACATTGTCCAACAGCGACACCAGCAGGTAAGGTTACAGCGGGAGTCCGCATCTCTCTCGCCTCCCCTAAGCCCATTGAGTTTTAACAAACCCCCTTAAGCATGCGGTGAGTTTGGTGGGGGGGTAATTGAGAAAGAATGGGGCAAAATCACGTGAGAGGAGACATTAGAGGATTCGAGAGCAGCCGGCTGACTCACATGCTGGCTGCATCCGAAAACTGAAAAATGCTGCCTTCGGAGGACGCATTCCAAGGTAGGAAGGCATTAAGGCATGTCTGAATTCAATGTTAGCTTCAGTTCCTGTCTCCTGAGATGCCTTCATCTGGCCGATTTTCAGCATAGACGTATCCTTCGCTGCCTTTGATATCCCACAATCCTGTGCGTTCCATTCTGTGACAGTCAAGCTAAAAAATAAAGATGGCGTCTGAAAGTTGCAGTCGGTGGTCTACGGAAGTTCTAAGCGGCCATGCAATATATTTTTTTTCCTTCTTGTTTTCTCGTTATAACGACTTAATTTTCTCGTTATCTCGACATAACGGGAGTTGTTTTCTCGTTATAACGACTTAATTTTCTCATTATCTCGACATAACGGGAGTTGTTTTCTCGTTATAACGACTTAATTTTCTCATTATCTCGACATAACGGGAGTTGTTTTCTCGTTATAACGACTTAATTTTCTCATTATCTCGACATAACGGGAGTTGTTTTCTCGTTATAACGACTTAATTTTCTCATTATCTCGACATAACGGGAGTTGTTTTCTCGTTATACGTTTTTGATCAACGTTTTCCACTTTTGATGTCATTTCTAGCGAGAAATTACTATTGCAGTAATTAAATATTCACTTAGTTATCACCAAAGCTCTCTATATTTTGCTGTCAATCATTAAACCGTTACGCTGCCTCAGAAGTCTGTCCGAAATCAGTTCCGTGAGGTGCCTTCGTGCGCAAACGCTGCCTGCAAGTCATTGCCTGATAGGGCAGCGAGGCAACAAGTCAGCTGCCTAAGGTTTCGGATGCAGCCGCTGACTCAGCCGCCGCAGTTTCTCCAGGGCTGCGTTTCCCAAAATTTGATTATAATATAAGGATATGATTGTACTTTATTGTACACTTTATTACTCGTTTTTGTTGTTGTTGTTTTTTTTTAAATGAATTTATAAATTAAAAAATTAAAAAGGGCAGAAAAAATAGAAATACACATATATACACAAATGACTGAACAAAAAAAATGAATAAAATAAATAACGTAGGAAATATGCTTCAAAGACTGGGGGGACGGTCTGTTTCCCAAAAGCATCGTAACTTAAGTAGCACTTGAAAATCATCGTAGATCTACGAGTGCCCTGGAGTAATCGTAAAGCCCTAAATGCATCGTAAGAAGACGGTCACCTGCAGGACAATCGGCAGATTACACCATACACGAGCGATCGTAAAATGACTCATAGAAAACGCTCTTAAGCTCTAAGATCAATCGTTATCGAGAAACGCAGCCCTGAGCGACTGCAGGAGCGCTGATCACGACACCACTGTTTCACGATTGGCCAGATTCACCGCATGACAACGATCACGTGTTTCGGATTTATTCTAACCTTTTCACAAATCTGTTTTTAGAACGGTAAAAGCTTTTTTACTGTAGTCGCACTGTTATATTGAGTCACGTTTATCATACAACACTGATAAAAGCATATGTTCCCCCACTTTAGTAGGCTATTTAAATAGTATGATTATGTTGAACTTTATTCTTGAAAAGATGGCGCTGTATTAATATAAAAAGTTATATAAAATGTTTTTGTTGCTCATGAAAACGTTTTTGAAACGTCTGTGTATTTGACAAATATTGCATTTAATTCACTTCCTCTGTGATAGAGTATGCAAACACCGCGAGAGTGTCACAAATAGTATATATTTACATTGAACTTTATTCTTGAACAGATGGCGCTGTATTAAGCAGTATATAAAAAGTGTTTCTATTGCTCATGAAAACGTTTCTGAAATGTCTGTGTATTTGACAAATATTGCATTTAATTCACTTCCTCTGTGATAGAGTATGCAAACACCGCGAGAGTGTCACTAACGGGAGCTGAAAGTGTCCGGCTTGACATGTCTGTTTTCAACTCCGCCCCCGACTGCAAGCGGCTACTCTACTATAGGCTTAGATCTCTGCCACAATTCTGCGTGCGAAAGATCATATTTTGAGAGCACAAAAGTGCATTTTGCACGCGCGCAATCTGAGTTTTGTGGAGAAAATGTTCGCCTTGCAAAAAAAAAGTATTTCGAGCAAGTTCATGAATATTTAGAATAAAAAAGGAAAAACAAAATAAAAGCGATCCATTTGTCATACAGTGTTATTGTGGCCGCAGTGTGTCACGTGACAAGCATGACGTGTCGCCATGGAAACAATAAAGGGAAACGTTCTAAAATAATGGTCGCCTAAAAAAAACTCACTCTGGGGGGACCGCTAGAATATTTTAAACTCACCACTGAAAA